CCCCTTTTAACTCGCTCTGCAATTTTGTTCTCCCTCTCTTGGTTTTCAGGAACAGACGCCAGGAGCTCTCAAACATGTAGCGAGGGGAGGGGGGGGAAAGGCAGAGCAACGCCAGTAGAGGACCGCAAGACACCTTTTAAAAACTTGGATCGAGTTGCGTATGTATGCGTTTTTTGGGAGAGGAGAGAGAAAAAAGATTTTTTGGGGGGGAAACTGGCCCTCTGTTGAAAACCCTGTTTCCAGGCGACTGGTTGCATTGGAAGAAAAAAAGAGAGTTTTTGGGGAACCGGGGGTTCTCTTCGAAGTGTGGGTGCCCCCCCCCCACCGGAAATAATGACAGGATCCCAGCAAAGCAAAAACTTCCCGCACTTTGCTCGCTGATCCTACTTTCCCTTCTTTTTGCGAGACTTATGGGCTGGTGGCTTCGAGATGCCGGGAGGTTCCTGTGCAGCCCCTCCAGCTGCCTCTGCCTTTCGCTCTTCCCTCAGTATCTTTGATCCCAAGTACCATCTGGGCTGAAGGGTTCGCCCCTTGGAAATGGATCTCCCGTCCCCTGCCCGGCGTCTGTGAAGAGTTTGGAGAGGGGAAGGGGAAGATATGCCAGCACCTCAAACCGAGGGAGGAGAAAGTTGGCAGATTGTTCTCTCCTGAAAGAAAAAGAAAGAAAGAAAGAAAGAAAGAAAGAAAGAAAGAAAGAAACTCAACCGGCATCCATCCCTTGCTAGATTTCTTTAGACAAAGAAGCAAAAAAAAAAGAAAAGAAAAGAAAGGAAAGAGCTTTCCTCTGTGTGACGTCCGCTTGCAAAACTAAATCCCGAAGCCGTCCGATTTGCAGCACCGCTTTTTGCAACCGGGACTGCCCGTTCCACGATTTGCAAAAAAAGGTCCGAAGAACTTCTCCCGGGTCTGCAAGCGACGGGGAGTCTCCACGGTGGAGTGAATTAAGGGTGCTGGTGTGTATGTGGGAGAGAGAGAAAGAGGGAAGGAAAAGGGCAGAGGGAACTGCCAGCTGTTCAGTCGGCCCCCCTTTCCAAAAAAAATGAACTGCTCGCCTTCTTGAAAGCGGAAGAGCTTGGCTGAAAAAGTCGAGGGGCCGAGAGAGAGCGAGAGAGAGGGACGCCAGCGAAGCCAGCGCGGAAGCCGCCAGGCGTAAATCCGGGATGATGCCGCTTTTGGAGATAGCCGCGCTGCTTGTCGCCCTGATCGGAGTCTGCGTGTGGACGGACGACGGCAGCAAAGTCATCTCGGATCGCTACGCGGTGTACTGGAACAAGACCAACCCCAGGTAAGATGGGGAAGGGCCAGGCCGACACACACACACCCTCTGTGCAGTGCGCGCTCCAGCTCAGGGGCTGGGGCCGAGGGGGCTGTGTCCCCACCCCTCCACCTGAAAGTGTGTCTGTATTTTGGTAGTGGTGGGTGGGGAGTGATGGAGGGCATGCACTCTCCAAGGGAGCTGAAGATGAGGGTTGGGACCTTTCTGCCTTTTGGGTAGGCTTGCTTGGAAGCTTGGAGAGGCCTCCTTGAACTTTCCAGGCTTCCAGCGGCCAGGTTGGGTAGTTCTTTCTCTGTGTCCTGGTGGTTTGAAAAAAGGGAGTTCGAGCGTGCAGGACGAAGAGAAAAAGACTATCCTTCCTAACAACCTGGCTTTCCTTAGTGGGGAGGGGGACTTTCGCTCTGGGAAAGATGCTCATCTCTGTTTGTGAGGTCTCTCTTTCTTCCCCTTGCCTCCCGCGCTGTTCCTGTATGCCAAAAGAAGTGTGGGTACTGTGCCCTTTGGCTCCTTGTGACCCATGGCTGGGAGTGCCCCCCCCCCTCGCAAATTCTACAACTCTGATGAATCTCTTGCTAAGTTCCAGGGGTTTTGCAAACCGTTTCTGGTTTCTTTGGGAACTCGGTTATTCATAATTTTGGTGTGTTTGTGTGTGTTGGGGGGGGCGGCGGCGGCTGATGAGGTGTGGCATGTTGATATTTTCCTAGGCCCGCTTCTCTGTTCAATGTCAAGTTGCGATGCATCGTTTATTCCTTCCTCGCACCCCCTCCAAAAAGGCACTTCCACCCGGTGTTTTCAAATTTCATTTGCCAGTTCGAGGAGAAGTTGGGTAAGTTTCGTTGGGGAATCCTCTCCTCGCTGCTTCGCCCCCCCCCCAATGCAATGGCTGTGAAACAAGCGGGGGGGGGGGGGGAGACATTGATATTTTTCTTAACAGCTGTTTTATGTTTGGCATCTGAACCACACACAAAAAAAATTCATTCATCCAGAAGCCAATTCTGAGGAGTTGTAAGTAGGTGCAGCCAAGGAGAACACACAGATAACAATTTTCAGAAGCACGGCAGACTGTAAAATCAATTACGCCTCACTTAGGAGCTTGCATCTTGTCAAATTAAAACACCAGCCTCTCTCTCTCTGTCTCTCCCACACACACACACACACACACACCCTGCCCTGGATGGAAATATGTTGTGTTGATTTTCTTGTCCTTGTGATTCTGACTTGCTCGGCCCCATGGACAGGGAACCGCATCTCTTCTAAGAGGTCCAATTTCTTCAGGGTCTTCAGAAGGGTGGGGAAAAGTTTTGGAAAACGTCCTCCTCTCAGCCATGTGGAAACCAGAAATGGTGAACTCTGGGGGTTTTTTTTGGTGTGTGGGGGGGAGTGGGTTGGTGCAAGCTGGCTGGTTCTTATGTCTAAGTGGGGAAAGGTTAGCAACTGGGATAATGATGTACAAAGGGTCTGCTTTCAATCTGTGGCAAATATTCATTTTTTTGAAGCCCATTTTCTCCTGCGATGTTAGCAGTTGGTTGTGCTGAGGAGAGGTAAAAGACGGGCCCTTTTGGCCCTGAACTTCAGGTCAGCCTTGTACCCTCTTTCTTTGCACCTGTGGTGTTCCTTCATTGGGATGTGTGAGGAAGAGAACTGTGGCAAATGAATCGGGCTATGAGCACCATCTTTTTTTTTTTTACCTCATGTATTATGTTCCCTCTTTCTGGAGCGATGGTGTGACTCCAGAAATGGGTTCTGTCTGTGGAGGAACTCAGAACAGCTTTGTGAAGGACAGCTGAAGGAAGGTGCAAACCCTGTTCGCTCACAACATAATGGGACCAGAGCCCCCAATCCACCTTTTCCTTAAATGGTATGGAGAACATTTTTTTAAGTAGAAATGTTCGTCTTGGCTCTCTCAGTTTCCCCTTTGTCCTGAACTAGAGGACAGAGTGGGATAGAAAAATTAATTTTTTTCTCCTAATTTTTTTGCGGTGTTTTTCTCCCCCTCCCCTTCTTGGCATTAAAAATACAACCATGTACAGCTTCAGAATTGTGACAATCTTCTTTTTTTTTTTGAAGTATACGTTCTTGAAAAAAAAACACCTCTTCTGTTTTGTTCTGGGGTAGGTAGACATGAGTCAAGACTCCTCCCAAGGTGTGGGAATAGGACAGTTAACCAGAGTGGCAGTGTCCATATTTGTGTAAATAAAAGTTTCGGCAGTCAGCGAAGAATATTTCTTCATCGAGTTCTATTGAATTATTTGCGGTTCCGAAATTTCTAAGGCGCCTCTCCTTTGAGAAGTGGCTTTTACACCCTCTCTCGATGATTTGCAAGATGGAGTTACTCCGGGTATTGTTTGATTGTCTTTGCTACCTGCTGACAGGGGAGAAAAATCTGTATGTGAATAATAAAAAAGGAACCTTTGCGTTCCAATTGTGCAAAGACCCATACTACACATGCAAGGAAAGTCTTTGTCTGCAGCTGGTTTTGTATTAAAAAAAAAGGGTCCTCCCCCCCCCCTCCACACACATCTTGATGGAAGATAATTTTTCCCTCCATTCCCCACTCTTGCTGTGAGAGAGCTCTGAGGGGAACCTTTAATAGAGAAATGATTCTCTTTCCAGACCGTTTCCTGTCATTATGAATGAGGGGCTTCATTCTCAAGATGAAATGTTTTAGATTTGAGGGAAATTCATGACTGTATTTCAATGAGGGCCACTGTATGGAGGAAAAGGGGGAAACTCGTGAGGCAACGGAGGCCTTTCTATATCTGGGGGTCCCGAATTACTGTTGTTGTAATCCGTTGCTTGTTATGAAACGACTCTGGAGCTGTAAGTACCCCAGTGGGCATAGGGGGTGTTATGCGTTTCGTTTTGTGCAGTCATCCCCTTTTTACAACCCGCATGGTCTTTGGGCTCCCATCCTAAAAACACCCTCTTTTATTAAAAAAAAAAAATGACACAGCCATTTTGGTGGCCTTATAAAAAGGGGGTGAGCCAACCTTTCAGGTCTCTGAGGGTCCACAGCTGAAATCTTTCACATAGGTTTGATTTCTGATGGCCAAAGATTTTGCTTTTGTTATCATTCATTTCCGTCACCCCCCTCCCTTTCATCGTGGTGTTGTTCAAATGAGGATTGTGGTTTCTTTCCAATTTCTTCAACTGCTGTTTTTTAAACTCCACATAAAAGACTGAGCATTAATGTTGTTAATATGAGATTGATCCAAAACGGGGGAGACCCCATAGCCATCCTCGAAAACACAATCAATGTTTTGGGTCGGTTCATCTGGCTTCACATTTCTTGCCGTGAAGTTGAGTGGTTTCAGGGCAACCGTGTTCTGTGTGTGTGTCTGTCCTAATTCTTGCAGGTTCGAAGGTTATTGGTTGCTGTTGTACATCTCATCCATTTAGTGAAATAAATTGTGTGTGTTTCCCTGTCTGGCTTCTTTTTTAAAGGCCCCCACACATATTTCAATTTTTTTAAAAAAATTGGACACCTGGCTCGGGAACAGAGATTTCTACAAAACCAATGTGACCAAGATGGTAGAGCAACTTTTAAAACGTGGAAACATGGCTGGAGGATGGAAGTAAACCAATGGATTTCCACCATTTCTCTCCCTGTTATCTAGTGAGAACTGGCAAATTTTTCCATGTCTTTGGGAATGAGCAACATCTTGTGTTGGGGTGTGTGAACTGTTTGAGTGTGTGTATGTCTAGAAACACAAATTAACTTACCCGGTTTCAGATTTCTGGTGTTTGCTCTGGGAACCTTTCAGGAGGTACCTACGTTGCCATCTGACTCTACTGTTGGGGATTTGTTTTGCTTTCTCCCCCAATGCTTGAAAATTGTGCACTGAATGCTGCTGTTTAGAGGAACAAACCAGTTTGGTTTTTTTACTTAAACAACAGCAAAACCTTATCCTAAAAGCATATATATTCCCACATATAGTGAGAGAAACTAGGTCCTTTTGATCTTACATTGAGCGTGTAAGGATTCATAGTATGAACCCAAAATGGGTGAACTGCTACTTTCATAGGGTATGATCCACCAAACAACTTGGAAAATATTTGCCTCAAGTAGATATTGATGAGCAGCCCAGAGAAATAGAAGTTATTTTTCACATTTGAAGTTATTTCCCACATGTGAATTCCACATTCCACATTTTTGTTTTCACACATTTGGTGACCTTAAATATTTGAAAACTTTGCAAAGGCAGGGAGGAAAGATCCAGTTCCCTAATAAAACCAACATAGATTGCTGACCCAAATGGACAGCGTTAGTTCTGTATTGGTATAAATTCACTGCATGTGAGCTGCTGGTATTCAGTACGAAAATGGGTGCTGTGTGTATTTCATAGCTGTAGTTGGATAGCGTCTTGTATCCCCCTCAGCAGGGGGAAAAATGGAAAAATTCAAAAGAGAAAAAATTTGAAACCTTATATATGTGTATCATTTTCCTCCTCCTCCCCCCTTTTCATTTTATTTCTTCCCTCCGGAAGCCAGTGTTTCAATCTTGTGGCACATGTGCCTTGCGTTGGCAAAAGGAATGCCCTCCTTGATAATTGTGTCTAAATTAAAAATCAATTGTAAATTGAGACACAGGAAGCTTTGCCCCTTCAGAATGTAATTTTTGATCACCCGCAGGCATCCTTGATATCTTCGACCCGTCATAGTGTTTTATGTGGTAGCCATGGGTTTGGAGAATGTTAAGAGATGTTTATTAAATACGTCTCTGTGTAGGCTGTTGATTGAAATATCGGCGGGAGGGATAGGTTAGGCACGGCCAAGGGTGTTCGCTCTCTTGTGCACTTAAATGAAGGGAAGACTGATGTTTGACTCCAAAGTTAGCAAAACCAAGCTGCGCTTCACTAAGATGCTGGACATCTCCTAGGCAGAACAGCAAAAACGGACGCCATGTTATTTTTCGCCCATAACACATGGGAAGGAATCCTTCCCATGTTGACTCAAGCGTACACTGAAATACAATATCGTGTGCCCACCTAAACACCAAATTACCAGAC